ACCAAGGCCACTTGCAACGGACACTTACCTTCTTTGGAATATCTCGCATTGAAGACTAAGGATCCACCCAAATCAAAGCGCTCCAACGGCTCTATCCCACTAAGGTAAGTTTTGATTTATTTTAATTATTCTTGATACTAACAATTCCTTATTTGAAATTGNCATGTTATTTCTTTCCTTAANTAGCGTAGGGCATTTGTTTCGCCGATTGTGTTTTAATTANNTAGATGTCGATCTTTTGTAATAAATGTCAAGACCCCTAGAAGGGCATAGCTGATCGGACCACTATATAAGTCCCCTAACAGCCTTGTAAAATTTTTACCCTTGATTAATAAAGCAAAAGCATTCTCTTAAAGAATTTTCTTGAACAACTTTCGAAATCCGAGATTTCTAGTTGTTCGCCCGTCAGTATCGAGTTGTTTCCATCCGGCTCGTGGTGACCTTCGATCCATCTTCACTTCCGCTTGTTCATCTCTTTGTCCGTAGTGAAAGCGCCGTACGGCCAGTACTCGGATCCGTTCATCACTTCGCTTCCATCGTTCATCGCTACCCGACTCGCAACAGGTTCCGTATGGCCGGTTCGAGCCATCCACCCTCCACGTAATCTCCGTTTGTGAGGCTGCATCACTTTCCTTGGAAAACATTAGCAAGGGAGTTAGTAGTAAACAAGAATTGCAGTCGCGAGACATTCCTAAAACATTTGCAGTCTTGAAAGCATTAGCAAGGGTGTTAGCAGTGTTGTTGTGTGTCACTTATAACATTAGTAGTGATTTTTGAAAATAAAAGTGTTTAATCAAAGATTCGATACATTTTAATAATACATTTACGTTAATTAACTATATGTATTATCAAAAAATAAGAAATATTTTATAAGTAGTGTCTGGTTGTAATATTTGTAAATGTTTCTTAAAATCTTACATGTATAATTAACGATTTATATTATTCGATATATATTTATTTTTTTTGGAAGCTAGTAGAAACCGTACCTAAGATACGGATTTTCTTATTGAGTGTGGTTTACGGTGCTCTGGCCGTTGCGGATAGACTTGAAACACGAGGTTTACATGTCAATCCGATGTGCAAACTCTCAGTGCCTTCTTAAGATTTTAAAAGGCCCAGGGCGAACAAAAAAAAATTTGGGCTCTTTTAATATAAAAAAATAATTTTGGACCATTTTTCGTAAATACTTAAACGAATAAAAAAAAATTTGAACCCTTTTAATATAATTTTTTTTTGTTTGGGCCCTTTTCTAAAAAAAAAAACTAAAATGGGCCATATTCTTCTAAAGAAATTAAAAAAAAAATCGTGGGTCCGGGGCGTAGGCCCCTCTGGCCACCCCTAGAGCCGGCGCTGCAAACTCTGCAACCAGAACTCCAAAACGATTTGCCATGTTCAATTTTGTTGTCAGCTAAGTTATGCTTGAGATTGTGCATATACCAGTTCCATATGTTGCATTATGCATGGAAACGAAAACGAATATATGGAAGCGAAACGTTTGGAAACGTGAGGATAATTTTTTTAAAAAAAAATTAGGAAACGGGTACCTTTTGGAAACGCACACACATACATGTATATTAATGAAACAACAACATCAAAACAATATCTTAAAATAATTTGAATAACACAAATTATATATATAAATATTAATAGCTTAACAAAAGTTAAAAATTATTATAATTTTGTTACTTTTAAAATATGCAAACGCAATCTTTCATAATTTTGTTGTTTTTAACTTATAAACATACTAAATATATTGTCTAAAAAAAATACTAAATATCCCTAACGGAAAACGCATCTCGACGGAGTTCCCATGCAACGTAGCGAGCTCCTACAAACGGATATACTGATTCCTTAGAGGAAAATATGGTATATGTCTTGGATTTGATGGAAAGACAGAGCATTATGGAAGAAATCCGATGTGCAATTCCATTGATATTATGGAGTACATGGAAGAATAGGTGTGCAGGAAGTTCTAGAAACGGTCATTAGACACGTCAATAGACAACAAGGTTGTAAGGAAAGATGGCAGCATCCTTTGCAAGGAATTGTGAAATGCAATATCAATTCTAATTTCTAAGTGGAGAAATGCGAACATCGGAGATTCTTGAAATTGCTCTGAAGTGAGCTTGTGAGCATGGGACTGGAACAGTTTCCGCAACGAGGGCTTGAACATCTCGTCAAGTTCTTGTCAAATGGAGTACCAATAAATGTGTTTTCGTGGCAGAGTTTGAGTTTAGGATCGCAGGAGTCAAAACACACACGAAAGAAACTGCTAAGAAAATCTATGAAATGGTTACAAAACTGGACAAGTATGACCACAATCTAGCCTTCAAACGCAGCCCATCTCGAGAGGGGAGTGGTGAAGCAAAAGCCTGCTTTTCATGCAGAACCTAGGTTTTTTTTTTTTTCATTTGTAGTTTAGTTTGTTTTTGAAAAGAAACTAATGTACCTAATTCTCAAAGCCACCCATTACCATCCATATGCTTTCTTAGTTTTTTAACTTATCCTTTTACAGATCGAAAATATTCTAATAGAAAACTTAACAAACGTGCAAACAACAACCAATCCATTATAGCTCATTCTATATATCTCCATGTATGAGAAAAATGCAGGAGGAGACCTTAGTTCTGCTGATGAGGCAATACCATTTCCCTTCGAATCTGGTCTCCGGTGTGAGGCTAACGCATGGCATGTCCAAACCGAGAAAACCATCACATGGTCAGTTCGTTTGGATCAATTGGCTGCTACATGTATTACAGATGGTAAGTTTTTTCCTCTGATAGAGAAAAGAGACATGAGAGAATAGACATTCTAAGAGAAACAGAGAGGACGCGGATATTGAGCACGCTTAACTTCTTCAAACAAAGCATAATTTCACATAAGAGAGATATGAAAGTACATGCCATATATTTGATTTGACAAGATGGTAGAGATCAGCTCAGGTACTTGAATTCCATTACATTACGTGATAGTGTTCTTGTGATAGACAATAAATCACAATTGCACCATTATGATTGATCCCACCAAAAGGAAGACTCGGAGAGGAATACCCCTTAATGTATATTCCTGGCTAGACTCAATCGCTTGACGCATTTTCTCAATCGTTTCATCTTTATCATTACAACAATGGTTGTAAAGATTGCCATTGCCCTTCTGTAAAGATTGCCATTGCCCTTCTGTGAGGCAAGCATAGAAACCGCAATTTAAAAGGTTTAAAAGGTTTAAAGATATACACAACAATGCAAATATAAAATAATAAAAAGAATCTATAAAAATACTTATTTTATCAATATAGAATTATAGAATATCACAAAAAATGAAAATTTTCGACCTGTGACGTCATTGGTACTCTCCAAATGTATATATTGAAAATTATATAAGTTCAAAAATAATAATATTCTATAACCTATGAAGTTAATATTGTATAAAATTCGGCGAGTATAAAATTTTATGAGAAATAAAATGATGACATTATAAAATACAATTATTAATCATGTACTAATGTAATGGTTCACAATATTATTTGTAGTTTTTTTGAGGTATCTAACATAAATTTTTTTTTTTGATTTAACGATATAATATTTTAATTATTTTTATTTCTATCAAAAAATTCATAAATATTCATAATGGGTTAAAATATATATTTTGTGTTATTAAGAATATAATTTAAATTCCGATTATATATATTTTTGGATTTACATGATATGGATTAAAATATGATAATTATGATATAAACTGAGTTCTACTAGTGTTAGGATCTACGTTAAATAATAT